ACAATAGAAAACACACATTCACATCAATTTACTAGGTCGCCTAAATCTGAATATAATACCAGACTGCCACGCACCTCCTATTTCGCATACTACTTCCCTAACAAATAGCCGGGCGGAACCGAAAACCCCCTCATCACACCGAATCACTCGAAGCGCAGGTATCTGCACTCGAGGAAGGCTATTTTATCACTTCACATCTAATCACTCGCGATCCATCATTGCACATGGGCCACAGTCTGAAAGCGAAGGATTACTTGCGGAGAAAAAGCAATGAGTGCTTTTTTTTTCACCTTCCAACTTTAAGAGGGGCCCAATTGTAGGATGGGAGGCCTGAAATTCCAACGCCGCATTCTTGGGCACAGGGGGAACGAGAAAATTGGTGGATCATGCGCGCCAATGAACCCGAGCTGGGATTTGTTATATATGCAGGTATAAGTCTGCATGAGCGGGCCGGGGAAGTACTGGCTATCTGCGGGTATGATATTCTGGGGTGTGATATGTTTCACCTGGGGACACTGATAGATGTGTAACCTAATCTAAGTGACGGCTTTCAGAGTCGTGAAACCCCGTCTCGTCCCAGAGCTGAAGAAAAGTTGGGAGCCCTGGGGGTGGCTTTACTTTACTCATCTAATTTGCAATTGCCATACCAACCGGTACCCTAATGGTAATAGGAGCGCCCCCGAGCGGTAGGCCTAAAAGTATACTATCACTCGGAGGATAAAGTTACATATTGAGAACTTTTTCAACTTTACGATTTTTCAACGTTCTTTTTTTTATTATCTCTCTACACAACACACACAATTATTATTTTATTTTTTTTCAATTACCATTTTACCCTTATGTCTTTTTGCGATCTTTGTTGGCGGGGGTTCGGCGTCCCGGCCAATTTCTCGAAACATCTTACTTCCCCCGTCCACGCACGAGGAAAGTGCTTCCAATGTAATGAATGCGCCCTTTGGTTTTCTACGAAAGGAGCATTGGGCCGGCACAGAAAATCCCTTTGCGAGGTACCGGAAATTGAGGATTACCATTGCACCGAGTGCCGACAGGATTTCACTAGTCCCAGCGGGCTGAGGAGGCATTTGAGGAAGACGAGCATACATGCACCGACAGTGGGAGCTGAACCAGCTGGGAGATACCTGTGCCAGGGATGCGACCGGAGTTTCACTAGCGACAGGGCACTGACTTGTCACGTTGAGTCGGGCGTTCACACTATCACTCAGAAGATACGCTGTTTGAGTCGATACACCTGCGGGAAATCATTTACTACGGTCTCGGGAATGGTCTACCATTTAGAAAGTGGGGCATGCACAAAGCAATTGAACAAAGAACGCTTACTCCAAGAGATCATGGCGAAAGACACTATGAATTTGATCACTGATAAAGCCCAATCCCCCGCCCCTATTGTTGAATCTTCCCAACTATCCACACCGCCACCCTCCGCCACCACCCTGGGGTGGCCGACCGAAGAAGGAGATGAAGATGCCCCTCCTCACTTTCTCCTCCTATCTTCAATCCTATCACAGGAGGAGGATGCCCCATACTCAACTCCCCTAACCTCAAACCCCCAGTTTGCAAATACACTTACTTGCCCCCTGTGTAAGGGCTCTCGCCGCCGTGGACGCCGGAGAAAATTCAAGTCCGCGGCCGCACTGCAGGCGCATCTTGATGAGATGGGGGCTCACCTTCCGGAACCGTATGTTTATCCGGGTAGCAAGAGGAGGTTTATAACGCTGGGTTCGCTGATCAGGCATGCGGAGGATAAGGTGAAGGAAGGAGGGGAAGAGGGGAGGGTTGCTGAGGAGGTTGTTGGATGCGCTAGGGGGTGGTTGGAGGGGCTTTGTGGGGAGAGAGTGAGGGGGTGGAGGGACAGGGCTGTGTACGCGGGGGATAATGATGATGGTGGTGGTGATGATGGTGGGGCAGAAGATGATGGGACAGAAGATGAGCAAGAGGACGGTGAAGATGGAGGAGTAATTTGGGGAGTCAGTGAGGGTGTTTGAGTATTTTATGGTGGTGAATCAGGTACGATATTGAACCATTCATGAGAGGGACTGAATCCGTGATTCCTCTTCCATAATATACCTGTAAATTTCAGCTACGATGAGGGAAAATTTCGGATTTCTGGATATCATAGGGCGGGTTGTCTTTACGTTCTTACCAAAAAGCCTTACACCTTTTTTTTGCTCTCATTTTCATACCTACTTAGCTTAGGCCAACTGTGGTACATCGTTCGTTGATTCATCAATTCGTTTATCCACTACTTTCCAAATATCCTGGAAGAAACACTATTAGTCGTGTTATTAAAGGAACAAATCGGAGATGAAGTAAGGAGATCACAACTAGACGTCAGGAATGAGAAACTAGGCAACCGATAGAGATGCTAGCTGAGGACAGAACAGAGATATATATATCTCCAAAATAGCAAAACATCTCTCCAGCCAAACTCCACGAACATCCCACACTTATAGCTATCCAGAATACCACAGAATAATCCACCATGATCTAAAGCAATCCCCTAGCAACGGATCAGTGATCCGGAAACCAACATCCTATGCCACCCGGCATAGAATCAAACAAAGCCTCAACTAACAAAACAACAAGCCTAAGTACCTGATGCCCAAAGGCATAAGGTATAATGGCAAAACCAAACAACAAAACACAAAACCAACAATACCGTATGCTGACCAACATAGGTTGTGAAAGAAACACAACAATCAAACCCAATACCCGATACCTAACAACGTCTGGTGTGTGAGACACAATCCCCTAGTCATAACCGCATGTCCTATAGGCAATCCAACAGTTATGATGCTAATAAGTCAACTGGCACTAAACATTTAATGGCCCTATCTAGGCCACCAGATATATACCTCATAAGTAACCTCATATCCCCACTTCTTCTACATTTCGTTTTCCTTTCCTTTCCTTTCCTTTTTTTTTTGAAAATGCATTTCTCACCTTACAGACCTCCCTCCCTCCTCCCTCCCTCCTATGTAATAGAAACTGCCCCTATGAGAAACAGCACGTATTATATCACACTTAACATACTATTGTACGTTAGCATAAGTAACCGAACATCGCGATGCAGCGAATAACATTCTTAGCCCAAAACTAAAGACTCCAAAAACAATCCTCGCTCAATAATGCTAAACAACATAATCCAACCCATTACAAGATATGGGTAATTAATGGCATGGTTAGGAATATATTGTAGATAAATAATTCTTCTTCAAGAAAGTCTAGTCACTGTGGATCTGATGTGGATGTATATATGGTAATACTTTAAACAATAAGTATTTCCCTACCATACTGTACTCCCACCCATAACTCATGACAGAAGCCTGGTGTTACCATGATTACAGCACATCAGGAGCACCTCTCTATTCTCTACCTTACCATACTAAAGGTTTGAGGATCGGATGAAGAGGGAAGAAATGGAGCAAGTATTTGATATACTAGATTGTTTAGATGTTTTATCACTTTAAACATGTCATATGTAAAGAACTTTCAATAGAACATACACAACAATCTTCAGTTTGCTCAGTAACACTTTTCTGAATTTTGGATTATTTTTTTTTTAATTATTTATCATCAAGTAAAGAACATTAGTTGAAAGAATTCTTTTCAATTCCGAGGCTGGGAGCGTTGCTATGTTCGGTTATTTATGCTAACGTACAATATCTATCCAAATCTCATTTTATTGGCAAAATCAGAAAACGATGCTCTTATGAGATATCACTTTAGCGTAACAAATAAAGAACCTTCTCAGCTCTGATAACCTTCTTGTGGTACTGTACTGGTGGGATATATACTCACGCCTAAGAGATTAGAAAGGGGGGGGGGGGGGTGAAGCTTGTATAAGTGTATCTATCTGCTGGATTGAATGGTGGGCACTTATTTATTAAACCAACTTTATTATATTCTCCAAACTACAAGTATGTACTGAGCACCATCCGTTGCAGATAAACTAACCACTAAGTTATCAACCTAACTTATACATCATCACCAAACTTATCACGGCTATCAAGGACAAACTTGAAGCATCCTTCTTGAGTGAAGACTCCTTTCCGGTCATGCACACTACCAGGAACCCATACTTTTCGCTACCCATATAATCTCATGAAAGTCGGATTAGCACTAGTGTGGATTCCCTCGAACCTGCCCAATCGCCCCTCTCCATCTGTTTAAACAGTGGCGAATTGGCGATCTTCATGCCCCTTCTGTTGGCCTGGTTGCCTTAGTTTCTCTTTAGTTCTCTTCAGTTCCAATCCGACTTTCATGAGATGATACATGCAAAGCTTATAAGGCCCCCATTATCATACCGTACTCCACAGTTCTATCATACCTGCTGACGGGTAGGTGAAGGCATCCAATGAATACTGAAGCCCCCCCCCCCCCTTTTTTCTACCTTGCAGAAAAAAGAGTAGAACTCTAGAATATGAAATCATTCTATTGATACCGTCTGGATAGCGCACTGCCCGGGCGGTGCTCGACGGTGTGATTTTCTATGCTTTTTTCTTTTGCTATGCTTGGATTACCGCGGTCTGGGTGGGGTGGAGTTTGGTATGATAGTGTGATGGATTGAAGGTGGGGTTGTGGTAGATTTGAAGTGGAAGTGTAGCTTAAGTGAAGGGGGGTGGATTTTGGTAATGGGTGGGGAGGGGAACTTTTGGGGAAAAAGAGTACTCGAGTAGGAATGGTAGAAACGGAGATGTGGACTTGTTGAAGACGGATGGGATTATCACCATAGTATCAGCTAGTGTGTATTTTCTTTCACTCACTACTTACTATTCAATAAAAGTAGAAGTTTTAATAAAGTTCACCAAAAATCCCGATTCTAACTTACGATTTTATTATCCACACTACTCCTCCTACCCTACCCACCCCACCATACATACAACCACCTTCACCCCAAATAAAAATAAAAATCCAAGACCACACATTCCCTCTCTCATTCCCTCACCCATTCACTCACTGACCAAAAAAAAAAAAACAATTGCGCCAAACCCGGATTGAACGGGTGACCTTCAGATTACCCCGAGTTCTTTGACAAACCAACCAACAGACAGACAGAATGATTTAAACTTCAGTCTGACGCTCTCCCAACTGAGCTATTGGCACTTGTGTATTAGTAATAGTATCTTTTGGTTTCATTATCCCACGCTCAATGCGGGTGATGGGTACCGTAGGGTGGGCTGTGTAGATTAAGTCAAGAGTGATATAGTGCAAGAACGGATAAGTGTGAACCTCATTGCAGGATGTTTTTAACAATGTATTCCCAACCCAATACTGGCCCAAAACACATAGAAAAAGAGTAAATATGTTAGAGAAGTGAAGGAGAATAAGAGTACAGTTTTTTTAATTTGTAAAAACAACTAAGAGAATAGGAATAGTCCTTTTAAAATGTGAGGTTTTGGTGTAAAACTATAGGTCCTGGCAGTGTGATGCTACATCAAAAAGCTGACTAATCAGTATTTGATCATAGTGAGTTGACTAGGGGGGGTGAGTGGAAGCTGAGACAAGGCAGAACCCTCCACAAACCAATACAACAAATCTGATATAGGCCAAATCAAGAAGAGAATCCAACAAAGCCATGCTGCTGGTCAATTTAGTAGCTGACTGAAAAAAACAGAAAGTAACCTAGGAACAACTGAGGACTTAACAAGTGAGGATGTTACTGCTGCAGATGAAATTCAATTTCAAGGTCAATTCCCTTCCAGTTTGATGAATTTTAAATTTATTCAAAGTAGGAGCTGATGTGTATATGATTGTAAATATTAGAATTCAATAATGTGGTAGATAAGGTGAATCACTCTACTAAGATACCCTGTTAACAAACTATTTAGAGATATAAGAAGTGAGCAGCCACTATGCAGGCATTATTGGAAGAGAGCTCAATTCAGAGTATGGCAGAGGACTTGAAGGTGGAAGTGAGGCTAAGGCTGATTATACAAGTAGGATAGGAGTTAGAGGACATGAGAGAGCTGAAAGTGGAAGAGTGAGAGCATAGTGGCTAGGATAGAGAGGGGCAGGAGTGGGAAGTAGAAGAGAGTAGAAGGTAAGAGGGCTAAGAGGAGGGAGAGAGAGAGTAATAGCAGGAGAGCCAGGAGGAGCAGGAAGAGGATGATTTAGCAGAGACAATCTAAAGTTGGCCTATTGTATCCTGGTATCAATCAACTCAATTTTAGCATTGCATTCTCAGTCAAGGTATATTTATCTCAAACTTTCTGTTTTAATAAAAATCAGAAGACTGATGGAGATTTTAGCAATTCAAGAGATGCAAAAGCTTTTAAAATCAAAGAAACAAAGGTTAAAAGACCAAGATCTTGTTCATCATCTACCAGTTCTTGAGTTTCTTCAGTTCTAGTGATATAGATCAGGGAAACCATTCTGGAAGAGAACTCTAATAGAGGCTGCAGCTATGATTGCAGTAATAGGGGGTAGTGGAGAGCATCTCAGAAACTGAATTATTAAGAATAAAAAGAGTTGGATTAAGGGCTGTATAATACTATTGACACATCAAGGGAAGTCACCAATGCTTCATCATCTTATTGATGATGAGGGAACAAAACTTGCATTGCGAGAATATGTTACAGGTGCTAGGGAGTGCATTACAGGGTAGAGACTTGTTTATGCTATTTCTCACTATTGGCAGACTGGAATTCTTCCCTTCAAAGAGCAATCTGAGCTCAAAGATTTGCCACTACCTTATACATAAGAGACACAAGTCAGACTAGTAGAACTTGTGGGAGAGAGAAATGAAATTCAGGATACCCTTAGTACTGAGTCAGCAGCCAAATGGCTAAAGGAAATAGGCTACCAATATTGAGATATATGAAAGGGGGTCTATAAAGATGGCCATGAATGGGAAGATATTGTGGAATATTGGCAGCAATATTTCTTGCCAGCCTTAAAGGCTTTGGAGAATTATATGGTCTGCTAAGAGCTTGTTACAGGTGATGATAGAGAGGAGCTTTATATGATATATCCAACAGACCTACCATAAGGAGAATGGCCTATTGTTTTAATAGTTTATGACAAATTAACCTTTAATGCTAATGATAGTCATTCAAAGATATAGATAAAGGATGACAATATTCTATTGAGAAAGAAAATACTGGCATGTAGGAAAGGAATTATAGTGTCTGATTTCCTGACACCTTGTGGGAGATTGCAAGTACCTGAAGGTATCAGCCTTGAACCAGTCCTACAATATAAAACTCTAGAGTATGGCCCAAAGTGTTTTGATCCCTATTTTGCTACCTGCTCTATTGAATATGGAGGTGACATCTGGTGGAATGGAGATCAATTAGTTGACCAGGTATTAAAGCTGGCAATTCTGGTATTTAGAAGTCCCTTTCCTAGCTGTCAAGTATTATTTCTCTTTGATAATGCTATGAGCCATGTAGCTTATTCAAAAGATACTTTAAGAGCATCTTCTATGAATCTACATCCTGGAGGAGGGCAGGCCCATCTGAGAGCTGGTATAAACTCATTAACAGGAGAGACTCAGGCTATGGTAATGCCAGATAGAATAGCCAAGGGACTACAAATAGTATTTCAAGAAAGGGGATTGTGGAGACCAAGATTTCAAGTTCATTGTCAGAGGCATGATGGGAAGAAAAACAAAGTGTGCCTCAATGGAGGAACATGTTGTGCAAGAGCACTGATTGCTAAAGAGCCAGATTTTAAGGCTCAGAGAAGTCACTTGGAGGAAGAGGTGGAATTAAATAGCCATCTAGTGTACTTTTTCCCCAAATATCATTGTTAGCTCAATTTTATTAAGTACTATTAGGGTGCAGCAAAGTTGTATGCTTGTTAGAGATGTGGCTATACAATATGAGTATTGTGGAAAATGGTTCCTGAATGTTTGGCTTCTGTTCAACCTACACTAATCTGGAAGTTTTGGGCACGTACTGAGAGGATGATGAGAGCATATCATGAAAGAATTGCTTATGGTATACTGGACTTCAAAGAGAAGGTTAAAAAAACATATAGGAGTTATTGTAGAGTTTCAAACTCTCAAACTATTATATTAAATTAATATAGTATCTCTTATATATAGTATAATTTACACTACTTCATGATCCATCACAGGCAGGCTTGGCAGTTTTATTGCATAGTTACTATTGCATTTTACTATACTATATGGTTGACACTCTTCCATTCTTGAACTGTAGCATTCTGGTAAAAAGGAGAAGGTGGAAGGCAGAAGGTAGAAGGTAGAAGTTTGACTTTGTCAACAAAAGACAAAACAATAGATCCTAAGCCCTCCCCTCAGTAGCGATAGTCATGAATGGTGCATCTCATGAATCTTTAGGTATCTCAACCTACTAGGCCTTCTATGGATGTCTATGGAACATCTTTAGCTCAGTTCAAAGATGAGCCAACCAGATATCAGCTGTCAATGAGATATTGAACACTCATGAAGTAACAAGAATAGAAGTAGATATAGCATTGAAATATGAAACATGCAGGCAAATAGTACAAGCAGAAAAGCAGTACAAATCCTAGAGAAGACTCTTTCAGATTAGAACTGGAGTACTGGTTAGAGGACCACCTTACACCTCTACTCCTGGATGATTGAGGAAGCTAGAACCTAGATAGTTTAACTCCTTCAAAGTTCTGGAACATGATGTCTATACTGATAACTACAAGCTTAAATCACCCTGGTAAATAGAGTAGTAGGAATCCTTCTTCCCTGTATCTTTGCTCAAGGAATACCAAGAAAATGATCTAGACAAATTCACATCTTGAAGAATAGATAGGTTAGCACCTATCATCATTGATAATACAGAAGAATTGGAAGTGGAATAAATTCTTGATTACAGATATCAGAATAATAGAGATGAATTCTTGATGCACTGGAAGGGATATAAAAGGACTGATAATTCTTGGGAACCCATCGAGAACCTGGAGAACTCCTTAGAAATCATCCTAGAATATTAGACTACAAACCACCCAATGGCCCCCTTATCTTAGATTAATTCATGCTATATCATCATAGTTTGGAAACCAATAGTGGTCTCAAAAACTCACTGTGCAGCTGGACCTATACCTGATAAATTTTGGGAACCTTATAATGATGAAGAGTGTGACTCTAGCTATTTGGAATTAGATTAATTCAGTACTGATGATGACTCCCTCCTTTGGCACATGGATAAGAATGAGCAGGGGGATGTGGACTAGAGTATATAGTATTTTAGATTGAGGGAATGTAATATGTGTACATATTCTGGCAACTGTAAACTGGTTATACTTTTGCTTTCCTTGTTATATTATTTCATTTGTCCTTGCTTAAGTTGAGTGTTTGATTGTTTCACTACCAGTATCATTAGGATTCTGGTAACTTGTTTATGATTGTATTAGTTATACTTTTGTACTAGCAAGGCTTTATACTAGAGATTCTAATGGAAGGAATGGTCATGTATACCACAAGTAGAAATAAGGCTTGGGTGAAGAATTACCTTAGGTTTTCAGGATTCTGGTAAGATCACAAGATTCCAGTAGTATCCACTGACTGGTAATGACAGTGATTGCAGGTTTTAAGGAACCTCTACCTTGAGTAGAGGAAATCATATATTTAAGACAGGCTTACTGACTAGCAGGAACCACCAGACTTCAGACAGAACCTAGATAAGAAATATGCTTAGTTGAACAGTGATTCTATTATTCCTTTCCCCTTTGCCTCTTCTAAGACCTTCTTGTCTTTACCACTCTAGTCTCCCTTAGGAATTGAATGCTAGCTGGACTACTGCTGATCCCTATGGTACTTAGTTCATACAGGTTACCCCCTCTTATAGTACTGCTGTACTATACTCAGTTGATCAAGATATCTGACTAATCACAGTCTCCTACCAAATTATATGTTTTATGGGTCAGGTTGTGGTCACTATGCAATAGTTGTTGAGGTCTATATTGATACAAGGTGATCAAGTTCTGAAGATGCCAGGACATCAGTAACAGAACCATGGTAAACTACCTCCACTAGCCTCTAACAAATCACTACCTCCTGATATAGGTATCATACCCCTTACTGAAAGGAATGGTTAGGACAGAGAGCAGCATAATGTATATAGAAAACCAATATAACATCAATTCAGTAAACATTGAATAAACAA